CAAGCTCTTGTGGCTGTAACATAATTCAGTTCTTGCCGTTGTGGGACATAGGTTCCCATTTTCTTGATGGCTGTGAGTTAGTGGCCTCTCTCAAACACCTATATTCCACCTTCATTCTTCGTCAGGTGATCCTTTCTGTCTTCAAAGGCAACAATGGAGAATCTCCCTTGAGTCAAATTCCTCTCACACTTAGAATCCCTGTCTCCAGATAAAGCGCAATCCCTTTTAAAGGTTCAGCTGATTAGACTAGGCCCACCTAGCTGATTTTATCTTAAAGTCCTCTAACTTGGGACCTTAATTACATCAGCAAAATCACTCCATACCAGCACTTTGATTAGTGTCCAAATAACTGGAGAAGGTGTATATACACCAGACAGTTGGGAATCTTGGAGGCTACTTTTTGAATTCTGCTTACAAGTAAATGAATAGGTTAACTATAGTAAATTCTGCCTACAAGTAAATGAAGCCGAATGTAGTGTAAATCTGTTTACCCTGACTCCTTTTGGGCTACTTTCCCACCAGAAATCAAAGCGGGGGAATCATTCCTATTTTATTTAAATTTATTTATAGAAGGTCACATTTAAATAACATTTTGTTTTCACCTTGCTTCATCTGAACCTTAAAGATCCAGGTACAAGAGAATTTAATATCTGTATCTCCACTTTATGGTTGGGAAAACTGAGGCTCAGGGAGATGAAATTATTTACCTGAAGTCCCATAGCATTTCTGTTTCCATATTCCACATCCCAGGTCCTTAATATACTGCAGGATTTTATTTCTGCAATATTTAAGTACCGTCATCTCTTAGTTTTATTTTTCAGGGTTTCTGAGAAGAATTATTTTTTCCAGCCCTGTAGATAGATATCACAGCAAATCATAAAAGGTCATGGTCTTGAGTTGTATGCATCATGAGAAAGAATTCCCTTTACATCAATACAAATAACATTTATGTATGTTTCACCACAGGGACATTTAAAAAAATAACTATGATTCATTAAGTAACTTCAGTAAATGGAGCTGACTAATTTTGAAGTTTATTTAACTGAGACAACTTTGTTTAATTTAATTTGCTAGTTTCATGTTCTATGTGGTGGTTAACATAGAGATTTCAGGACATAAAGCTTTTATCTTGCCCAAGGTGTGACCACACTTTATGGTCACCAGAACATGGTTTAGGCAACAATGTTGAAGCCACATCGAGTATGATGTAGAATTAACTGAATATGTTCCAAGCTTCTGTTAACCACAAGGTACACTGTAATCTTTATAAGACCAACCACACTTCATCTTAACTCTTTCTTCCCCAAATTTTAAACTCAGCCAAACTTCATGGATGAACATTATCTGTAAGAACAGACTGATAACTTGAAAATGTGAGTCACAGAGAAAGAAGAATTCTATAGAATCATTGAAGGTAAGAAAGTGAAATGGATCCTAGGTAACTTCTAATTCCCATTTCACAAATGAGAAAAATGAATCCTAAAGAAGTTTAGGAATTTTCCCAAAGGCACACAGCTTGGGAAGTGACAGAGCTGAGACATAAATATAGGTCATTTGTTTCCATGTCTAGTACTCTTAGTTCACCAATTGCATCCTTTGATGGAAAATGTGTTACACGCAGTTTTCCACAAATACGGTCATTTTTGTAACCAAGAAAAATGTTTGCATGTAAGGTATTGGAAATAAAGAGATGGTTTGAATTTTTTCTTCCCTGCCCATTATCTGTATTTTTTTTTCCCTCTGGATCTTTGTAACAGGCACCAAGGTCAGTGCTGTTCAGGGGTAGGGAGATGAGAGTAGTCCATCTGCTTAACAGTAAATGCAGCAATTGTTGAACTTAGACTAATAAAATACTTTTGAGGAGAGGAGTCTCTTACCACTGACATAGTTTAAAACTCCTAGTATATAGTGATAATAAAAAGCAGACTGACTTTTAGTCAGTTTTGTTTTTGTTTTTATAATTTTTTATAGACACTGTTCTCTCCTTGTCTCCCATGACACTGACCTGAATTAAAGGACAGGAATCCCCCTATGAGCTACTCACATCTATAAGACTTCAGATTCTTTAGAAAGTGTTCCTTTTGAAGGAGAAGAGAAAAGGCAAAGCACCATTATAACATTTGAAGATAATATACTTAAAAAACATTTGAAACTATAAAATGTATAATATATTCCAAAGTATCATAAGGAAAACGACTTCAGTACAGAAACTGATTGTTGAGAAGCCAAAGTTTTAGGAACTGATCTGGGTTTATATGGGATTTTAAGTTTAGTGTGTCATTATTAACAAAGAACTTTTAGTTTGCTTGTCACTGGGCTGAAAGGGAAGTGGACGTTTTAATGCATTTCAGGTAGAAGCAGTGTTGCATGGGTCAAATCTGGGTACTCTGAACATGGGCAAATGACCTAATCTGGCTAAGCATCAGTTGCTCCATCTAGAAAATGGTAATAAACAATAATGTCTACTTTATAGAGTCATCATGAGGATTAAAACCATTTAGTCACATAGAGGGCTTAGTCCTGTTCTGGTATACATTAAATACTCAATAAATGTTTATTTACTATCACTGTCATTATCCAGTTGCCAAAATACTTAAAATTTTTTTATTTTTAAAAATGTTTTACTCTGACACAAGATTTTGTATATTTTCTTTATGTCTCTCAAATATGAACACTAAAACTCATGGATATTTAAAGATATAACATTGTGATTAAGATTTTAACAAATTTCTCTAAGGGCACTAGATGGCGACCTTTTCCTTTAAGGAAAAAAATATCTGCGGATTCATAAATTTGCTTTGGCAGTTGAAACTTACTGCTGCAGATTTACAAGAAAACTACAAAGGGTAAAGTCACATCATTGAACTCTAAATTGTCAGAACTGTAGAATTTCTAGATTTTCACATACTAGGAGCAGTATGGTAAAGTGTGTGAGGGAAAGCACTCTCAAGGACGTACAAAATCCTGAATTGAAACTTATGCCCTTGGATGATCTTGGACTTTACCCTTCAAGATCTTATTTTCCTCTTTTAGAATATAAGGTTGTGGGTTAGATCATCTTAAAGTTACTTTCTGCTCTAAAGTGCTATGATTTTTTTTAATAATTCAATTTTTATTCTTTTACCAGGCTATCTTTTCTCAAGCATTTCTTTTGCTTTAAATTAAATATTTCTTAAGCCAATGGACAAGATATAATGTCATAGGTGTCAACATTACTTAAGGTAAAACTGACTTATTCAAAAATAAGATTAATTTTGGAAGATATAAATGAGTGTAGGGTTTTGATGTGAGTGTGAGATCTTGGGCTAAATGTTCCTTTTTTAATAAACGGAAGAAACATTTGAATCATACATTCATTTAAGATAGTATAAGACTTGAAAAAAACCTGCCTAGGCATCATTTAAAATGTATTTGTATCTCTTCCATAAATAAAGTTGAAACTATGCCTAGATTATTGAATGTAATAAGTTTTTTTCTAATGTATTATTTTAAAATGTCAATTATTTTTAGTATTTCTAAAAGGATTATAGCAGATTAAATTGTTCATATTTAGAAGCAGCAGAATAGTAACTATCAAGATAGCTCTTTCTCAAATATGAGTAGACAAAGTCAGTCTTCAGCATCGGGTGCGATTAAGAAATTTAGATGTCGTTTGAAATGTTTTTAACTTAAAATAATCAGATGATTATAACTAATAGTAAATAATAGAGAAATCTCCAGAATAAAATATATTTTAGGATTTATATATAAACCAAAATATGTACCTCCTTTTGCTTTGTGTTTCAGACAGTAGAAGGTAGAAGATTTTTTTTATAAGTAGACAGTGATTATATATTGATTTTTTTTTAAGGGAAGTTACTATTTCAGAGAGAATCTTTGTCATCTTAATTTGGATTTAGTTTTTTTCCTTTTACAAAAAGATTTATTAATTTGTTGATCATTACCTGAAAAATGCTCCTCCCACATACCCAGACAAACTCTTAAACAGTGATTTATGTTATGAAAAAAATATTCCCTGTGGCATATACGTATTAAAAATAAAAAGCGTAGGAATTAACAAATACTCAGGCCTAAATGGGTAGAAAAATCTCATTCTCCTAGGATGAGGTGATGGATGCTCAGGTGAGGGAGAAATCTGGGTTACAGACACAATTTTTCCCCAAATCTGAAACTGGTAGGGTGAGGCAGCAATTTAGCTGGAAGCCACCACTTCACAACCATGCTCAATATACAAATTTCAACTGTAGCAGATGAAATAAAATCCAGACTCTAAAAAGTTTACAGCTAAGGCATGGCCTTTCTCTTTCTTGTAAACATTTGGCTCATTACCATATGCATATTCATCCAACTTCCCCACTAACAATTTTAGTTCACTATTTCCAGTAAAATTTTACGCTGAAAAGCTTGGAACAGCTATTATCCTGTCATTCTTGGTGGGGTCACAATCACAGGACTTCGCAGTAAGAAACACATATATGAACTCTACCTTATCATTTAGAGCAGAAGAGAAAGTTGAAAACAAAGATTTATGCAGGTTATTGTCTAAAGACAGTTTAATATTTATGCAATGTCACACACACACACACACACACACACACACACACACACACACACACAAGTCTTTAGGTTCCAGTTACAAGCCCTGCGTCATCTGTCAGATCACATGGTAATTGTTGCTATTTCAAGGATCAAGTGGCACAAAGCTCCCCCCTACCTCTACCCCACCCCTTTCCTTTGGTACCATATAGCGTGGAAGAGTGATTATTGTGTGATGGGGTGATACCAGGCTTTCTGGTTCAACCCTCCCAACTAGGAACAGGGCTCTTGGTGGGGTGGCGCGTGCGCGCGGTATTCTCACAGAGTGACTGGGAAAGGGGGGCGGGAGAGGGGGTCTCAGGGGAGGAAGGGCAGCTCTAATTGGTTTCTCAATGAAAGATAATCACCTATTCCCCAGAGAGGCTAGGGATTAGCACTCTGCCTCTCCTCCTCTCAGCCCTTTTAGACTTCTCATCCTCCCCTCCGTGCGTTTAGTCCATTCAGCAGAAGTGGATCGAAGAAAGCGGCTCCTCGCTCCGCATTAGGGGCAGCTCTCTGCTGCGCGCTGGTACTTAGCGCCCCATTCACTCACTTACTCTGCGCTAGCCTCGCTCGGCTGTTGTCCCAGCCGCCGCCACCGCCACCGCCACCGGAGAAAAAGTTTTGCAGAGGGGCTCAGGGAAAAAATGAGCGAGTTGGAGGAAGACTTTGCCAAGATACTCATGCTCAAGGAGGAGAGGATCAAAGAGCTGGAGAAGCGGCTGTCAGAGAAGGAGGAGGAAATCCAGGAGCTGAAGAGGAAGCTTCACAAATGCCAGTCGGTGCTGCCAGTGCCCTCGACGCACATCGGCCCCCGCACCACCCGGGCGCAGGGCATCTCTGCTGAGCCGCAGACGTACAGGTCCTTCCACGACCTTCGACAGGCATTCCGGAAGTTCACCAAATCCGAAAGGTAGGCGCCAGGGTGCGGCGCAGCACAGCGCGGAGGGCCAGGGCGAAGGCCACCGCTCCCGGCGGGTGGGCCCGGGTGTCCATCCGGGCGGCAGTTCAGGGACTGGGGGCTCCGGCTACAGCTGCAGGGGCTGGTCAGTGCAGGGCTGCTCGGTTGTGCACAGAGTGGAGTGGGGGTGGCCCCTGAGGCCGGGGAATGGGAAGTGTTTATTTTTATTTCTGCCCATCACGTGCTGTGCTTGTCTCAGCCGGGCTGGGAAAGGCGAGCTCCTCTGGGAGACGCGCCCCTGTGGCATGGGGGTGGGGAAAGAGACCACAGAAAGTTTTCTCTCGCCTGTTAACTTGGTCACTCTACACTCGGCTGCAGTCGTGCTGTCTTTGCTTTGCACACACCCCTGTGGGGGTACCCTCGATGGGACAGCACCCTGCCCATCCTGGAACCTGGGAGCTTCCCTGAGGCGACTCTGAGACTCAGGCCATGGGGCATGCTCATTGGGGCTGCTGGAGGCTCCCTCCCGGGGAGGGGTGACAGGAGGCTGGACAGGGTTGGGTTCAATTTAAGGACTGAACTTGCCCAGAGCCCAAGTCCTATGGGGAGGGCTCAGGGGCGGGGAAAGGGCGCGGGGG